TCAGAGAAATGTTGCAAATACAAGTATGTAATCACTTGTTTCCGATAAGAAATTGGATAAGAGAATACGATTATGAAAGTTAACAAAGTGTTTTCTTTTGCTTCTAATTGCAGTACTGGAATATCGCTTGAAAAAGTAAATGTAAACAATTTTTAAAAAATGATGTTTACAAAATGTCATCTTTAAATTTCCTTAGGGGATTTTAAGTAGCTTTTGACTGAGAATAATCATCATGTTTTCCTTCAACAGTATTATTCTTAAGCATTGCTGTTCGCAATTAAATATTTTAGAAACAGAAATACTTTTTAAAAGCCTGATCATTTACTTGACTGCTTCAATGGACGGACTAAAACTTCTAAAAATACTCTTTTTTGGGTGTAAAATCTCAAAAACGGAAGAAGAGTGTACAGTATTAAAGGTATTTTCTCCCTCCTTTACGCATGCTTTCATGAAATAATTGAAAGCATCTCGAGGCGTATTCCAGAGACCCAGGGTTCGAGTTCCGGCGACATCATTACGTCTCCGCCTTCAAAAAACCCTAATGACTCTAAAATATATTTTAAAGAATAAATCAACTATAAAATTTCATTGATTACAGAGTTGTCGTCACAATATGATTATGGTGCAAAAAAATAAAGTTGAAGGAACGGCTTTTTTGCATTTTTAAATATTCTCAAAAGTAGGTTTTTCAATATTTAGACACATGTTTATAAAACATGCAGATTTAGTCATCCGAAAAATCTGCGTGTATTAAATAAACCTATTTAAATTTATCTACAATAAAAATTGAATTATTGAGGAAGCAATTTTGTTTAAAAATGTACTATATTTTTTTTAATTCAAATTGTTTTTAGATTTAATTTTTCCAGTTTTTAACTGTTGATATTAAAATAAAAATAGTTTTATCAACAATATGTACAAGTATGTAATCACTTGTTTCCGATAAGAAATTGGATAAGAGAATACGATTATGAAAGTTAACAAAGTGTTTTCATTGATTAAATTATTATTTCATTGATTAGATTTAGATGTACACATTTGCAAACAATAATGCAAATTTGAAATGATTCTTTGAAGAAGAAAAGTTTTTAATCCACATATTAAAAATTAAGTGATATCATGTATCTGAAAGTGAGATCATGTATCTGAAATCTGTCATTTTAAGGAGTTCTTAAGATTTCTTTCTAAATATATAACGTTACGGATAGAAAATATTTTTTTATTTTAGTATAGTAATTATAATAATATACATTTTCTATAAATAAAGCATTGTAACCATGATATAAGTTCTATTAGGAAAATAGGTTGTTGGTAATGGAAAGATTCATTCTTTTGGCTGATGAAAAAGTCTTACTCCCTTTAAAGAAAACATAATGCAGATTTTAAAGAATAAAACAAATGTGTAGAATATCTAGAGCTGATTTTTGCAACATCCAAAATAAAAACTTGCGTTCTATTTCTGAAATCATTTACAGTCTTCTGTAAAATTCATTTCTCAATATTCACGATCCTAGACTGCAGTTGCTAGTGAGGATAACAAAATGACACCAAAATTTATCGAAATAGAAATTATTTCGTATTGAATTTTTCTACATAAAAGGTTTGAGATGTAACTTAAATTGTTTGCAGATAACATGGAACTTTGACTCTCGAGAAAAGATGCAACAGAAATAATTTCAATGTTTTCTCAGAAAGGCTCTATTTATCAAATACTCCAGCAAATGGAGTTACGAAATTCAATTCGTAAAGACAATTTAACATTAAGTATTATTAAATTTGGTCCGCAGGGAACATTCAGTTAGACTTGCCCAAATTTCGAATTATGGAAATTTGATTAATCGAAGTTTTAGAGCATTTGTATTTTTATTATCTGTACTCCCAGAACACTTTCAGTATTAGAATGTGATATTTTTGTAAATGGAATATTATAAAAATTATGACAACTTTTTATGAAAGGTCAAATTAATTCGCTTCAGTAAGTCACATTACACATAAATATTAACGAATGAAAAATTCAGATAAAAATGAGACCAAAAAAATAATATAAAATAAATTAGCGATATTTTAATAGAAACCAAAAAGTATTTCTCAGATTAAATGTATCTAAAAATATTCTACAAAATATTAGAGTAGAACCCTGTTAAAATGTTTTCCGAAAGCAGTGGTTAAGGACTTCCAAAGCAGGATTTTTTTTTTTTTTTTTTTTTTTTTTTAAGTTTTAATTAGGCTAAGCACGAGAGGTCTGGGCACCAAAGGGAAGGTATACTTTATTGAGACTAAAGAAAAACTTGCTCTTATTCACGTTACACATGAAAAGAAGTATGGCAATACCCATATAGATAACTTTTTCCCCGAAACTGGAACCTCCACTTCAGCAGTCTCGTCAGTTTGGCCACTGGTGGGCTAGTGACTCATTAAGAAAAACAAACATTTGCTATAAGATAATTATTAAAATTTAAAGCTACCAAGAGTGCCAAAATTAAATAATTTTGAGATTTTTAACTGTGACTTACTATATGGTCACCTATTCTTTCTTTATTAAGTAATTGTATGTTTTCAATTTTGGTAGAATTGGTACACTTTAGAAGAATCCTCCTTATTATAATGCATGACACTTAAAGCAATCCCAGCAATTTCCTGGCTTGTGTCAACAGCCTCCATGTGTGCGAAAATTGTCATATGGACTCTCACGTATATATTGAAGGGCAAACAAACTGATACACACGCTCAGCATTTCATGGGTCTCTCAAAAGACGCAAAACTAAAAGGAACTTAATAATTATTTGGTAAGCAATGAATGCCGATGTTCTGTACAGCTATCCATAAATTCCTGTATTCGGATGGGTAGAATTTCTGTTTTCCAAAACGCGCTGCATGGCATTCGAAATGCGTTATTTAAAATCTTGTGACTATGACAAGACTCCAAATATAAATGAATATTCCATTAGCCAAAATTTGGGGTCTCTAGACTTGAGTGATCGTTTAGTATCTTGCTAAAAGCCAAATTATCAGAATGAACACAGACCTTCAATGGATCTAATTCATCTGAAACACTGCTCTCATAACTTTTAACTGACTGAGATATTAATAAACGTACTAGGGTCTCCAATCGAATGGCAGTTAAACACGCTTTGTACCATGAATCGCTGCAGCATGTAGAATGTTTTTTTGACATGTCGCATCCATAGATTTACGGTGTTTTCTCTAAACACAAATTCTTCCGTTTTCCCCAAAACAGTTGAAAATGCTATTGGTCGCTTGAGGCTATTCGTTTCTAGTCAATAAGTAATGTCAATTAGCATCTGAACCGCCGATCCCACACCAGCTACATAACTTTGTGTCGTGTATTCATCGGGGATACTCTGTTGAGTGCCGTTTAGTGAAATTAGATAATGAACAGAACATTCCGCTATCCCTATCGCTATATTTCGTGAAGCCTCAATATTGAATTCTGATGTTACTGAAAGATGTGCAGTACATTTTTACTTGCAATTATTTTTAGTTGATTTTAGTCATGATTATCTAGAATCGTTTTAGGGCCACACTTTTGTTATAAGTTGAAATTTTTGCCTTAATTCTCATAGTGACGTTAACAACGCAGTTACGTCTTGCAGTTACATCTTGAAATAACCATATATGATGATTCAGATGTCTATCACTTTCGAAAAGCTATCTCACCAATTCCATCCACTGCATTGAATTTAAAATTCAATTTAAATAGTGAAACCTTACTATTTTCAAGGTAAAACAGCTTTAGAAGTTATACAATGTCTTTTTCTTTAAATATCCGTTGGTGAACACACGAATGATGCGAATATTATCATTATAGAGTGCATAGAATTGCTATATATCCTGCATAGACTTATTTGTGCTATTTTATATAAAAATTCTGTGCATATCAACTAATTTTATTTGCTAATGAACTGATACATGCTGCACATGACTTTCTGACTTTCTGAGCCGAACTGACTATATCAACTGTAAATAATATAACCTTTAGTAAAACATAATACTCAAATTTTAGCTTTTCAGTCACGTTATCAGGTTCAATGTTTCTTCTAACCTTCTTCGGAAACATACAATGACCTGACTAGAACAGAGAGCTTACTAAAGCTATGTTCACTAATTGTAGTAAGTAGACAGGATACAGACGAAGGGTATACAAAACCCTTTATTTTTTCTTTATGTACAATGACTTCCGTACTTCGGAATACAATGACCCTCCACTCGGGGTCTAACTTAAAAGATATCAAAATAAAACTAAACTCTAATTTAACTTTAGAATAAGATTGGCCTTATAATAACAGGAAGCGTATGTAGCACAGAGACTGTGAACACTACAATACGTTTAATTTATCAAGAGGATTAAAACCTCTGGCCTGGAAGGCAAAGTAGCAACTGCGTAACTTCTAAGGTAAGCGGCCTGCTTCGAACTCACGGCTTCCTCTCTTCTGCTTGGCAAAAAGGCCACACTTAAATACTTGGCGTTCGCCAGACAACTTTGCATAAACTCCTTCACGCTTATAATTCTGGCCGGAAGTAGAAAATAAGAAGTGATAGTAAAGATTTAAAATAAAATAAACGTTAGTAAAACTTAAGATCCTTACAACGTGAACACAGACTCCTCGAACAATCAAGATTTATGTATATATAATCATAGGACAGGAGACCGATTCTTTGACTGAAAATTTAAAAAAAGTTTACATTGCCAAAAGAGATAAAATTTGATAAAATAATGTAAGTGAAATTTCGGCAAACATATTTTTGAAATTTGCTAAATTAATTTGAAAAGAATTCATACTTTCGGTATCATGAGAATTAGACATTTTGAATCCGAAGACACAAATGGCAAGGACTTTGTATTGAAAACATCTAGTGTACAGCATTCGAATTTTATTTTGGAGCATGAAAAAATAAGAATTTTTGGGAATTTTTTCTAATCCAATTTCTATCGTTTAGGAAAAATAATTGTAAAATGTTTCAAGCCACTCATTGATTACCTTGATTTTTTAGTTTAAAGATTCAGATTGAACCTCTGAAATAATGTCATTAGGCCAACGTTTCTTGATCTGCAAAGCCATTGACGACAACCACAAATGCAACAATGATTTATTCAAGAATGTTTGTTATTTATCAGAGAAGAATATAGTAGGAAATTTCGATCTTTCTTTCAGTTGCCACAGTATGAGCGAAGCTTGCTGATGGAACATATCCTTCTGCAACACTCGTCAACGATGCCTTCGTCCCTCCGATTGCGTTCCAAAAATGAGACGACCGTGCTGCTTTGAATGAAATCTGGAAATAAAAAATCCTAGTCAATTAACTGTGATTCGATACACCGTGTCAAGAAAAATAACTATATTACCTTAATGTATATATACTTGTGATAAAAAACACCAGGAAGGATTTCATAGAACACACGATTTTAATTTATTGTTCAGTGCTCATTACATCTCCTTCAATCTCTATGACTGCAATACCCTTATACTAACGTATTTTCTAATCGCCGAACTTGTGTATCAAAAATCATATTCTACTTTTTAAAGCTGTATTTGGTGAATTTTTGTCCAAAACGTTGTGAGCAAGTGTGCATTGCCTTGGTAAAACATTCACACTGTAAATCGTAACAATTCACATTATGTTCTACTAATTCCTCCACGATAACTTTGCGAAACACACGCATAACATGTTTTATTAACAATTTTGCAAAAATTCATGAAGCATAGCCTCACGACAGTCGAAGAAAACGACCTATGTTACCATGATTTTTGACTGACTGTGACGTGATCTAGCTATCTTCAACATTTAACTGTCATTTTTAAATCATTCAGTTGTTTCTGTATCAGTAGCGTAGATACATATTTCCTCACCAGTAATGGTATGTTTAGAGAAAGACTCGCCTTTAGAAAATATTTCACAGGCCTGTTCTTGTTTTTAGAAAATAATCTAATATTTTTGGAACAGCTGGAGAAGCCACCCTCCGCAAGATCAAATGATCTTTAAAAATTGCCTGCAGAGCCCAAATGATGTACAAGCGCGTTGAATAATATCCTTCACTGTTAAACTATTACTTATTACGTATTGCTAAATTATTACTATTATCGCTAAGCACGAGATCTCTGAACTAATCGATGCTTTAGTTATTAGCTGAACTCAGTGGTTTACTATAGTGTGGTGTCATCATCATAGTCAACAGTATATGTAAAATAATACAGTAAATGTAAAATTTTAATTTTATAAGGGTCTTCGTATAATAGAAAATAAATTAGTAGATAATTCATTGTGCTGTATAACAGTTTAAATGCAGAGTTCCACGTTTTTACTTGCGACGAGTTTTTAGACAAGACTATATAAATTTTACAAGGTCAGGTAATGAGCGCTGTTTAAACCAATATGTAACACTAATTAGTTGTCAGAAGAAGCTAATTCTGTTTCTTAGCTATTGACTCTGTTTGATGGGAAAATTTTCAATTTTGGGTCACTAACAGGCACAGTAAAATTACCGACATTAGTAAACTGTTGAATATCTGCGCGAATACTGCACGCATAGATATGCGGTATATGGCAATTATTAATGCATAAAATGTACAGTACGTAGAACAGCAAATATCCGGATGCTAAAAATTCCTGATAATTGAATGGTCTTTTCTTTTTATTGTAATTATTTTTTCATTATGACTTGAGCAAGAGAAATTTATTTTTCTCTTTCTAGCATTGTCTCACAACAAAGATGTATAGATAAAAAAAAACTTTCTTATTTTTAGAAAGAGATATATACAATACACCTTTTTCAAAAAAATTAAGCAAGAAAATAAAAATTAAAATAAAAAAAGCACTAGAATACAAACCACAAATACAAAGTGTTACCAAAAATAATTTTAACAATACGGCTCATAGATAAAAAAAATTTGAGCCGAGAATTAGTTACTATATATCAAAAGGCTGTTATTCTTTCCACTAGAGATATTTGTATCCTAGGGAAACAGGCTGTCAATAACAATCGATGAGATTTAGATCTTTCCTTTGCCTTCCATATTATAAAAGCGCTTCGTCGTAATAAACTGAATCATTTAAAAAATAATTTTATCCGTATTTCTTAATGACATTCTGCAACCAGTTCTTATTATATCATTTAAGCAATAAACAAAATAAACTTCTGAGCTTTAAATATTATATTGCGAAATTTATTCCTGCATTTCTTGTATATATAAACAGCTTCAAAATTAAGATCTAAAGATAACAATGAAGCAACACAGAGATGGTGATCCTCTGCTATTAAAAAATTATTCAAATGCTAACATTTCTTTCAGAAGGTACTACCCTTTTTAATATTTTGGTATTTAACACTTATATTATTTTATATTCAAAAACTAAATGAGGTAATAAATACAGCTAATTTTATAACTAAAATTATCCCATTAAGTTTTGATTTTATTTTGCAGTAACATTTTTCTTTATGATTCGGCAAAAGTAGTATTCATTGTTACTAATTTTATGATTTAACAATCGTATCGTTGTATCGATACCAATAATCGATAAAGCAAGAAGACTTTCTATAACTGATCTCTTCACCCAGGAAGGCAGTCAGTCAATCAGTTTTCCTGGCTATGGCTTTCAGTACTATGGCGATGTAGTAGATCGTTTTCTGGTGTGTAGATTGTTTTCTGGTGAGTTTATTTTTTTATGGTAGCCTTGATTTTGTGAATAGGGCTTAACATGGACAGTACGTTATGGAGTCCTATATTTTTCTATACACCTCCCGATCCCTCACAGTTGTGACATCCGATAATTATGAAACACTCTTCCCTAATTTTATTCCAGTTTAGAAATATGCGCTGTATGTTGTTTCGTTTTTGATCATGGACAAAACTGCTGCAGTAAAAGTTTCGGCATTTTTCCAGCGGTATAGTTTGCGATGATCGAGTCAACATTTGAGCTGGCTGTTCCAAACTCATCACTCTCAGCAAAACGAAAGATACTGATGAAAAATAAAATCCCAACCCCAAAAAGTGCTAAATAAACGAAATTTGGAAGGTGTGTTAGCACATCTCAAAGGTGACGTCTAATTAGATTTCACGCTAGATGAATAAATAGTAGCGACACTATTAATATGCAAATCACATTTGCTTTAAATACGAGATGTAATCTTTGTGTGCTTTATTCATCTTCTGATGTGAGCGTTGTGAGGGAGATAGTCAAGAATACTATAATAATAATATAATAAGCCTTCAAAGAGCATATGAAATTTTGAATCACGTAGTCCTCCACCCGAATATGAGCACATGGAAGCCTGAGTTTTGAATTTCAAGTTTGTTTTATTATTTTTTTAATATTTTGTGAAACTTAAATAAATATTTAATCAACAATCTCAACGATTTGAAAGCGAGCAGTGGCAAAACTGTTCGAAAAAAAATATTGTTATCTCCAGCGAGACTGTTGCCATTTGGGAAAATGTAAGATATTTATCTTCTAATTTTAATTAACAAAATCTGCGTCTTTGAAACAATTGGTTACAATGGCCAGAAATAAAATACTACCACGCCCAGCGTTTTGCCATTCAATAAAGCCCAAGTTACTTTCAAATTAAATCTGAAACGAGTGATAAACTTAGCGATTTAAAAATAATAAACACAGTTATTAAAAGATTTCCCCCCTACCTTTTTAATGTGATTAATTAAACAAGCATTAAAACCATGAGACGTCTAATAAGAAATATTCAATATTTTTACGAAATTCCTCTAACTGGACACATTAAAATCAATAGATACTTTTTCTTTTTTATGATAAATGTTTTACGCAAACGGCTAGATTTTAAATAAATAATGTATAGAATAAAAAAATCTGTATAACCTCAAACACTCCATCGGGAATTTTAAACATTTTATGATTTTGCTGTTGAAGTGAATCTCATCTGGCGTAAGGGCGAAGAACGTGATATGTAATAAATAATGATAAAAAGACAAAACAAAATTGTTAGCCATTTTATTAAGAGAAAACTGAATATTGATATGATTAACCGAGAAAAGAGTATGCGAACACTTAACATTTCATCGGGAATTTTAAATATGCTATGAAGGTTTTAAAAATTCTGTGATTTTCTTGAGCTGTATGTGATGTAAGGGCGAAGAAAACGATGTTTAATAAAAAAAAAGTAAAAAGAACGGTGGGTTTTCAGGAGTGACTGGAAGAGCAGACTGGTAGAGTGAGAGCTCAGCGAGAGCAATGGCGAGAGCTTAAAAAACATTTAGGCGACCGTTAAAATCTGAAATCATTTGGATTCCCCCTCCCTTTTTTCTTAAACTGGATTTTTTTTTCAATGTTTTTCTTAGGAAACTTATTTCGAGGTTTACGAAGAATCTTCATGTTTGTTAGCTAATACCTAATTGTTTGCTTAAAGAAATAACGGTAACTCAACAATAAAGGGACACGTAAATTTTCAATTTCGGTTTCTATTTTAAACCAAGAGATGGCAGCACCACTCTTTTTCTTGCTTGAGATAAAAGCAAGCTATTTCTATCTCTAGTCCTCCATCGAACGAAATGTTATCTTAACTCATCAATACGTAAAAATGAATAAATAAATAAATAATAATGAAATAAATAAGTGAATAATTTTAGTTTAATATACCAATGAATAATTGATGTATAATATATCATATGAATTTTCATATATTCATTCAGAATTCTATGCATATAAAAATAATAAAAACATCAAGGAGGGAATCGTTTACATAAGCTAGGATCTCCAATTTTATTTTTAACCACCATATGACGATTTATTTTGAAATTCTATCATTACGACTCTTTTGTTCCACAGAACCTATTATTCGATATTAATAATTTATAACATTTTTTCACATAACGATTTTCGCAATACGGATACTTCCAAATACCTGATTGCTCAATTATCAGGAATTTCTTTTCCTTTTTCTTGGGCGAAATGATTTATTTTATTCAAGTATTTTCAATACTTTATTGATTTAATAGCAAAAAACATGTTTCTATAACCTTAAACTAATTTAAATTATTTGAAAAGAAAGATATAACTTGTATTAAAAAATTATTCTTTGTCTTCATAACTATTTGTAACATGATTATTTGTGCAATCCGGTTATCTCCATTTACGGGATGTTTCAGTCATCAAGAATCTCTTGATCTCTGTGCTGGCTTATGTA